TTTCCATGAGACAGCAAATTGTACAAAAAATTATTCATTAATGGAGACAATCCACAAGCGTGGAGTTTCTCTGAAAGAACTTCAACGGATACTGAATCAAAAGCCCCCTTGATATCCAAGAACACAGAAGCCATTTGCTCTTTCTTAGCAAAAGCTAACTGAATTTCCGAGGAAAGCAACGCGAGACAGTCGTTCGTTCCCTTACCCCTACGGAAACCAAATTGAGTATCTGAAAGAAGGTGGTTCGTCTCAACCCATTTGTCGAGGCGAAAAAGGATCATTTTCTCCATCAATTTCCGAATACACGACAGCATCGCGATGGGCCGATACGAATTGTGATCCGACGCGGGTTTATCAGGCTTTTTAATGGCTATCACCCTTACTCGTCTCCAATCGTCGGGAACAATATTGAGCTCCAAAAACTGATTGTACAAGTTCAACATGCGCCTCTTAGCGACGTCTGGGAGGTTTTTCAGCAAGTTGAACTTGATTCTATCAGATCCCGGGGCAGAATTGCCACACGAAAGGAGAGCGAGTGAAAGTTCGACCATTGAAAAAGGCTGACTGATTTCGTCTACCGAATTCGCGGTTTCGCGAGGAGTCAACTGCGACGGCACGGAATCCGGACACACTTTTCGCGCGAATTTAAGAATCCATTGATCCGAGCATTCCTCGCTTTCGTTGTTAGTAGACCGGTTACGCATTCTTCGCGCCGTACTCCAAAGCGTATTCATAGACGTTTCGCGCGACAATCCGTCTACAAACTGCCGCCAGTAACCCCGTTTTTTGGCCTTGATGAGGCTCTTGAGTTCGCGTTCAAGAGATGTGTATGCGTCGAAATGCTCGCGTGTTCCGCGTTTCCGAAAAAGTTTAAACGCGTCGGACTTTTTACGGTAAACCTCCGTGCATTGTTGATCCCACCAGAGCGATGGTGTTTTCTTACGAATAGACGATCGCGGCACCGGTCGTGTTTGAGCTTGAAGTGCGCTGTCGACGATGAGATTAGAGAGGAAATTATATTCCTCCAACGACGGAAGCTCTTCCACTGACGATACTGTATCGTCTATCGCGGATTGGAACTTAGTCCAATCAATGTTACGGGTTAGATCATACGCGACGTTAACGGATTCTGACGAGTTGAACCCACTGGCAATCGAAATTTTGATCGGCAGATGATCACTACCGTGCGGATCCTGGATTACATGCCAAGTGCAATCCAACGATAGTGAATTAGAGCAAAAGGTGAGGTCTAATCTGCTACCATTCGAGGATGGACCAGCCAAACGTGTTACTTCTCCATTGTTAAGTATTGTCATGTTGAAGTTGTCGCAGAGATCATAAATCAAAGTAGAACGGTTATCATCGTACAGCTCCCCCCAGCCTGTACCGTGGGAGTTAAAATCTCCCATGATCAACCATGGAGCGGGAAGTACCGCACATATGTCGAAAAGTTGTTTGCGATTAACAGAGACTCTAGGAGCAATATATACAGAAGCAATACAAAGGCTCTTACCTTTAATGGTAGCCTGACATGCGACAACTTCAATACCGGGGAATTCGGGAAGATTCATTTTATAGAAGGAATGGCACTTTTTGATCCCCAAAAGTACCCCTCCTCCACGTGAATCCTCACGATCCAATCGAATAATGTTAAAATCATAAAAAGGGAGATCAATTTCTGAAGAGAGCCATGTTTCACAGAGGGCAAATGCATCGCAATTATTGTTATGGACTAAATACTTGAACGAATCTAATTTCGGAATAAGACTTCGACAATTCCACTGTAGAACAGTGATCAAATCCCCGACCTCGTTTGGAAAATTATCCATCGAAGGAGATGATAGCTGCAAGAAGGGGCCATTTTGAAGTCAATTGCTTCAAGAAGGATTTCACAGTCGGAAGCAATGTGAGGACAATGCTTTTCAGAGGATCAGAAATGTTGAGGTATTTGAGAATACCGTCCAAAATGTCATCAAATGAGAACAGCCCAGATGAAGAAGGGGTTTCTGTTCTTAAAATTGGGGCATCAGGGGTTTTGGATGTCCCCGGAAGAGGTGGAAAATCCTGGGTATAATCAGTTCTGCGGAATCCAGGAGGAGTAGAAGTCTCCTTTTTTCCACCACTCCTTGATTTGGGCAAGCTGATTTGGAGTTCTTGATCTGCAACTTTCCGCGAACGGATGCGTTTTCGTTTCCGGGCAGAACCTTCCGGAAAACTGAAAGAAACTCCCTCCTCAGCCAAGTCAGAGCCAGACTCGTCATCTGACAAAAGAGCGAAGGGATTTGTCTCGTTGGTCGATGGCTTGGCTGTCTTAAGCATTTCTGCAAAAGACCGCCTGGAACGTTCCTTAAGGGAGCGTTTCATTTTGTCCCCGAGCTGTTTGTACGCCGGGCACGACGAGAGAGCATGAGGAGGAGTTCCATTGCAGTACACGCATTTTGGTGCAGTAGCTGCGCAAGCGCCATCCTCATGCTTCTCCCCGCATGTGGAGCAGCGTGCCTTGTTGCCGCAGTGGGAGGCCGTATGTCCCAACCGCTTACAATTCTGGCAGTTCATGACCCGAGGTACAAACAACCGCACAGGAAGACGAAGTTTTCCCAGCTCGATGTATTGAGGAAGGGCAGATCCAGAAAAGGTCACCCGAAACGAGTCTGTGGGGGTAAAACTCTTTTTACCCTCGCTGAGCGATACTGACTTCATTCTATGAACGGCCAGTATCTTTACCGGAGGAAGCAAGGGGTTCTTGAATCGGCCAACCGCTTGCTTCTCCAGTATCTCGGGGTTCAGGCTCGCCTCAGTGACCACGCCTTCGATCTCCACATCAGAGGCTGGAATGTACACCCTATATTCCAGTGTGAAAAACTGGGAAACAGCAATTTCATTGGCCTGTTTCAGGTTAGCGACGGTCACACGAAGTTTGTTGTGCCTAACCTTCGTTATTTCGGTCACGGCAGAGAATCGCTTTGTCAGATCATCAGATATCTGAACAACATTCAAGGGTTTGTTTTTGGGCTGAAAATAGACAACCCATGGGCCAGTCGAGTCATTCGGGTAGGCCCGCAATCTGGAGCTTTTCTCAGCCTGCCCATTGTCAGACTGAGACGACGAACCATGGATGACATCATCATTTTTCTGAGATGAATGGTCATCCATGTCGTCTTCTGACAAAACATCCATTTTGTTCAACTAGTGGGAGCGCAAAACGCTCTCCCACTGAACGCACAGACGCAATACACAGAAAACACTACAAACACAGAAATACAAAATGAAAAATTAACTAATGGAGGAGGAAAAGAAACAAAAAAAAAACAAAAACTTATCTGATAATTCTATACTACTACCACCGAGCGTTATATGTGTAGGCGTTTACGCAGATGGCTGGAAGAGACGCGCTGCGTGGATGACCTTCGTTGTGGTGCACTTGATCGAGGCTCGGTACTCAGCGCACACAGGCGCACGATGATTGATGAACGATGTAGATGTAGAAACGGGTGCTCACACTCGATGATGATGATACGTGCGCGGGTATGCGTAAGCGCGTATGCGTGACCACGCAACGATGATGCCCAAATTGGTTCGCGAATTTCCAATAGCACGGATTACTCTTTCCGAAAATGACACTTTCTACTAAAAAAAACTCACTTTTCGATCAATTTACCGGGAACTATGCCAGGATTCACTTAGTGAGAAAAAAACTGATAATTTATATCAAGCGAATACCGAGAAAACTTCCAAAACAACGGAGCGCAAAACAAGTCGACCGTACTTCTTGCTAGGACGCAGTGAGATGAAGTATGACCTTATAAAGGGATAAAATTTTGCCACGAAATGATGCAAAACATGCCATTTTCAAATGGCTCGCAATCGCCAATCCGGACGACTCCGGACGAGATTCTAATGCCAATGTGTTCATAATAGCGTGAACTTTCATTCGTCCATAGATTATATGATCTGATCGCGCAAGATTCTACAACTTTTTCAAGTCTGAAACAGCACAAAAAAGCATATAAAATACATTTTTTTCATATTGTTGAAAAAATAAGACATTATTTAAATTTAAAGGTTTTTATCTCATAACTTGTTAGAAAATATCCCAAAGTACCCATTTTATTATAACACTTAACTCTTGTTCAAATTGTTTATATCTGGTAGGCGTAATTATTACATGGTTACTTTTTGGAAAACAAGAAGCTTCGAATTTCTTCAGTTTTTGAACACGTCTCAAAATTTGTAAACAAAATGTAACATTTTTATTCCGTTGCCACTTTATGCTGCATATATTGAAATATATAAAAAAAATATAGAAGCATGAAAAATCAAGAAAATCTTGTTTTCTTATTTTGGCCAGGTTTTTGTTCCAGTTACTCCTCTGTGCGATGGCTGAAAGCCTTGTAAATAAAGAAACCCATGTTGGTTCTGCTGTACTCAGGCAATCGTCCATTTTTCATATTTATTGAGTAAACATTTCGGTAAATTTTCAGCAAATAAAATAAAGGAAACCTTAAATTCGCTCCAATAACCTTTTAACTGTATTTTTTTTATAAATAGCGGGGTGCTTTGCAGTCACAGCACCATTCCAAGACCGGATCCCTGACCGTTGTTCAACCTTTGACATTTTCCAAACGATTTGCTCTCGAGGTGGAAAAGCACTGCAAAGAAGAAAAAAAATAATATGTTTTCCACGACAACTTTAGCATGCAAGGCAGGCAGGAACTGGGGAAATGAACTATAACCGTCCGGAAGTGAACGCCGCGCTAGTGTGTCACAAAAAATAATAACAAATGACATTCGCGTCCCATGGGTATCGATTTTTTTTTCTTTCCACCGCTCGTCTTCTTTAGCAGAAAGAAAGAAGGACATTTTCCTTGATCAAAAGAAGAGTAACACGAACTCCGTATTATACGGAAATACAAAGCCGTTTTGAATGAACAGAACCTGCTACGAGTGTGAGTTTATTATATACTCATCCTTTTCCTCCCGTTTTTTTTTCTCTTTTCCAGAAACTTTTCCCCGTTGCGATTAAAAGTATCACGAAGAAAAGCCTCGCCAAATCTCAGAGTCTGCTCGGCAAGGAAATCAAGATTCTGCGAGAGCTGAGTGCGCTGCATCACGAAAACGTCGTCACACTGCTGGCCTGCACCGAGAAGGACCACAACGTTTACCTGGTGATGGAGGTGAGTAGTGCCACTTCCATATTCGTACACAAGTGCTCATATATATGAAGGGGAGAGACAGAGGTTTTTGTCCTATTGCTGACTCCCCGTGTGCTCTATCGTTGATGGTGTTGTTGTTGTTGTTGCTGAGATGAACGAGATTATAAATGACGGGATGCCAGGAAAAGTGGGCAGTCAGCTTCCCTGCCAGCCTCTCTCCGTTGGCTGGCATTCGGTGCTTTACTTTCATCAGCATCATCCGCCAGGATTATTATGTTCAACTGACAGACAGGCGGCATTTCTGCATGCCAAGAATGGAAAGTGAAATAATAAGGGGGAATCAAATAGTCCGCCGGAAGGTAATTTTTCTGATCGTTTTGTCTGGGTCCCAGTCCTACACGGAGAACCAAAACTACCCAACGGGTGAGTTCTTTAAACTTACTTTTAAGTTGATGCCTCTCACTTGCTCTCTTGTTGTTGTCAAAAATGAAAAGAGCGAAACCACCCAACATTGAGTTTTATTCACCCAACTCGACAGTTCCGTGCGCCAAGTTAAAATTGAGTACATCGTGTAAAACTCAATTTTGAGTAGTTTGAACTTGACGTTGAGTGAAAACAACTTAAAAGTAAGCAATCCTGTTTACATGCGAGTGAATGACAACTCAATGTTGAGTAGGCGCTAGAACTCTAAATTGAGTTGACGCTCTGAACTGCCAACCTGGGTGAAAAGAACTCAAAATTAGGTACTTTTTTTCTTTCCGTGTACTAAGTGCTCCCAGTTTACTGACGCCATTGAAAATGTGTAACCCATCCCACTTCTCTTTCAACAAACTTTAAGGTGAAAGGTGATAGAATTCACAAATGGTCGCTATTTTGGTTATTTTGCCTTGCCATGTCGAGATTTTGATGTCACGAATCTCAGAAAATATAAAGATTACGTGAGCGATGCACTGCAGCATACATGTGATTACAATTCCCTGCACGAAACCTTTATAGTTTCTGAGATTTGTGCCATCAAAATTCGAAGTGGCAAGGCAAAATAACCATAATAGCGTCTATTTGTGTTACAGGGTGCCTGTTATCTGGAAAAACCTAGAATCTTCAAGGAATTGTATTTTTCTTGAAAAACCTGGAATTCTTAGGTAATTTTTATATTCCTTTATTCAGCACAGGTTTAGGAATAGAATATATTGAAGTATGCCAGAAAACCGTCTAAGGAATTTTAAAATATTTTATTACACAACCAACTTTTTCTTCCTCGTTAGTTAAGGTACTTTTACTATTTGAAAATAATGATTCTTAATGGGATTTATCTTCAGTAACAACACAAATTCTTATGCTTGAATTTTGTTTTTAAAGGTTCTGGGACATGGATAATTTCTTCTAATCTAATCTAACACCAACACAGCCAGTTCTTGAAAGCATCCTGGAAAATGATATATATACCTACATCATTTTTCTTGTCTATTTGATATATGTTTCACATCGAAGATGCGTCACACATATCAAAACGGCCAGGCCTACTGTGCAGCATTTAAGGAGCAAGATGATTCAGAAAACATCGGGCCTGTTTAAATCGAAATCCAATAAATGGACGAAACGTGGACATCTCGTACCGTACGTTCCGCTTTTGGTACTTATGTATATGATTGGTTGGTCGTTGGAAGCATCAAAGATAGAAAGGTTAAGTGATGCTCCATTTTCTTCTGACGGTTGGGGCATGAGCACTAACTCTTGTCCTAACCTTTTATGACTTATAACTATAGCGCTATTCCTCGTTTCTGAAAAGAGAAGAGGGAAAGGAATAGGACAAGGACAAAGGGAAAAGGATTTTGTAAAATCTATGAACGTAAACAATATTTTGATTTGAAATATACAATATGGGTCATTCCATTCGGTCAAGTGACCGCCAAAAACTGAAGAATTGCATCGACCCTCTCCGATTTGAACCAAACTTGGTGGAACGACTTATTTTAGGCCAATAATAAAAAATCCAACGTTTTGTACCCGAGTCGATGGGTCCCCCGGTTCTGGAGACTGCCCCCACTTTTTTCCGATCTTCAAGAAACACAATTTTTCTTTTGAACATATCTCTGGACCAAATTATGCTACAGACAGGATTGGGCACTCATTTTAAAGGATTTTTAACGTAGAATAAAATGGCGTTCTCAGAATTTTTATGCAGTTTTGTGAACTTGCCCCCTCTTTTTTCTAATTTTGATAGCACCAAAATGTTTGACATTTTTACATACCACCAAAAACAACTTTTTTCGTTTGGGAGATATGGATGTTTAATGTTTTTTAAAAGTTCCATTACTGTACAACCCTTCAATATGAAACGTTGGACAATCCTGAAAGTTGATAGAAACGATGAAACCTGTAAGTTAGATGAGGATCTAATCCTTCTTTCATTTTATACAATCAAATGCTCAGATAATATTAAACCAGATTTGTTTCGACAGTGTTGCCAGCGTTGTAAACTTAAATTTAGATTGATAATTTTTCTTATTTCCAACACTTTATTTTTTTGCGTTCGGAAATGTATTTCGTATTACATGGTATTTTAGGCAGATCCATTCGTTATGTGTTTCTTTATTTACTGATTATTTTAAATAAGCTTTTGAAATATTCAAAAACTAAATTTTATTCTAAGTTAAAGCATCCGTGTTTCTATCCTACTTATTGCTATCATTTATTGAACAAATATCATCTAATACATTGAGTAGCATGAGTAATTACTTCTTCCGTTTTGCCTTAGATTTGGGTAGTGAATTTGAACGCTTTTTTGAAATTACTTTGAAACATGAACCCGTTTCTGAACAAGAAATCGTTTTCATAAGAACAGTATCTTCGCCGGTAGGGGTGGCACAATGCATTCCTCGAATTCCAGGAATGGGTCGTGCTAGAGCAAATCGGGCTTCTAAATCCTGCTTATTCGTATTGCATTGCTCCGATGTCACAAATTGTACATTCAAATTGCAATTTGACAGTGCCCATTCGTATAACTCTTTTGGCGTTTGTATCGTTGTACCCTGTAGACTGGCTCCCGTTGCCAATCTTTTCAAGGTACCTCCTAAACCGTCAATAGGGCCTTTGCCGTGTGCCGTGGCAAAGTAATGCCACTCAGCCGGAACTCCGAAGTAGTTCTCGATGGTAGAGCAAGTTGATGACGTTGAATCGGTTTTTATATTGCGAACCAGCACCATCAGAAAAGTATATAATTTTAGTCAAATGTGAGAGCCGATATTTCAGGAATGCCATAAACTGCCTCTGGAAACCGTGGAAGATAGCTGTGGAATGCTCAAAAACGTCGGAGATAATGATACAGTTTAATGGAACAACCTTTTCTTGCTCTAAGAAATAGGTGGCGAATGGATGGACGGTGGCTTGCAGGTTATTATAGTGAACCCCTTGTACGCTGTCTTGGAACACAAACGAATAATTTTCGGAAAAGTCCGCAAAAACAAGAACTTCTCCTTCCTGCAGATTGTCCCTAGTATTTTTATAGAAGTCTGCCTGTTTTGCAGCAATATAATCGTGTTTTCAAACCTCTGGGATAGCTTCAAGAAATGTATCAATGAAAGCTTCTGCATCACTGACTTTCGTTTCCAAACTGCACCGATCTTGCTGAGTCCATTGCTTGCACGTTATTTCCTCGATAGAGTTATCGTCCAAATATGACCAAATCGTTTTTCTAATCGAATCCAAATCGCCACAAACTGTATTGGCACACTTATTCAAAATGCATGGCTTCGATGGTGGATCATAGAGGTTCTGCTTCAGTACGTCTCTGTACGAAGAGAATGCTTTCGTACCTTCTACTTGCCCCTGAATTTCGTTGAACTTAGCACTCAAAAATTTGAGTTTAAAATTTTCCTGAACCACGCATACGCAAACTGTGTGTGTTCCTGCAGCTCCAGCCAGCACACACTCAGGTGACCGTAGCTCAGCAAATTTTGAAAACCCAATGTCGATTTTGGGAAACTTCTCTTTAAAGAAAGAGAAAGTTTCCCTGAGATTTGCCAGCACCAACCGCTTTTGCTTCAGAACACGATCGTTTCCTTCTCGAACACTCTTGAATTCCTTCTTTCCGGCTAACTGTTTGCTTACATCAGCTTCACGGTAAAATGATAAAACCGTATGCACGACGTCTTCTGAAATAGGGTGACCTTTTCTTGGATTAGGTGAACAGAGAACACCTTTCTGTTCAACGCACTTCTTCATATTTCGAACTAATCTTTCGGAACACTCGAACTCGCCTGTAGATCACCAAAGGCAATCAATCAGTTCTAAACTCTGTTCTAAATTAATTAAGATTACTCTGAATTTTGCGCACAGTCCAGGATTTGGGCAAAACTGACAAGACTTGGATTTTATCGCTATCTTTCGTACAAATCCGAAACTTTTCTTTCAGCTGCTTGATTATCTCCTCTCCATCTGCCTCATATTGTCCAGTCTGTGATTTTTTTTCTTCCATAAAGCAATCTTCGCCGAGAGCTGCGGCAAATGCAGTTTCCAACGCTTTTGAAGCATTGGAGTACTTTCCTGTGGGATATTTCATCGATCGGTTCACCTTATGTCTACGAATCGGTGATTGACCAAGCGACTCCAGCGTGGTGTTCAAACTTGAAAATGTCAATTCATTTCTAGCGGGATCTTCGACATCACCTTCAACCTCTGTGTTAAATAAGTAACAGCGTGAAAAACAAAGTATACAATTTAAGACCCACAACCCCCCAAATGGAATTTTTCTTACCCGGTATGTCTACATCCTCCTACGCATCGGCTGGACAAGTAATCCCAGCTCCATCTGCCAAAAAATAGTCTTTTGTAATTTAATGTAATTTTTTGCACAGGAAACGTATTATTTCACTACCATTCGCAAACTTACCATTTTCAGCATGAGGTCCCTTATACGATTCCTCTTGCAAAGCCTTTTCCCTTACTGCCTTATCGCATTGAACGCAGATTTTGCGACCCTCAAGCACATCCTTTACGTGATGATTAAAATCGTCGTGAAA